TCCCCAGCCGCCGGCTCCACCCAGCCCGAGGGTCGTGCCCGGGCCCACCAGGGCCGGGGGTCACCAGCCCGGCCACTGGGGCCACTCCTGCCCCGCAGCCTGCTCAGCAGCAAAAGAGGAAATTAATAAAACCACTGAAATCTCTAAATCCCGAGCAGGGACCCCACGGGGGTCCGTGGCCATGGTGGGGATGCAGGGAACCCCCAGGGCCCCCCAGCTCGGCCCCGGTTCTGCCGTGGCAGCTAAAATAACCTCCGTGCTGACTCGGAGGATTTTGATTTCCCTCATTTTCCAGCTGTCGTGACTAATTTCCTCATTTTATTTCCCTCCCAGGCCGGGCCCCGCTCTGCCCCTCGCCACGGCCACGGCCACTCCCGGCCCTGGCCTCAGCTCCAGGCGCTGCCAGAGCTCTGCAGCTCGGGGGCTGGAGTGGATCCAGGGGGCATGCGGCCAGGATGGATGGATGGATGATGGATGGATGATGGATGGATGGATGGATGGATGGATGGATGGATGGATGGATGATGGATGGATGGATGGATGGATGATGGATGGATGATGGATGATGGATGGATGATGGATGGATGGATGGATGGATGGATGGATGGATGGATGGATGGATGGATGGATGGATGATGGATGGATGGATGGATGGATGGATGATGGATGGATGGATGGATGGATGGATGAAGAGATGGAGCCAGGCAGGACAGGCCAGGCTCCATGTCCTCCAGCAGGTCCCAGTGCTGGGTGGCAAACCTGCACTGGTCTGGCGTGTCTCTGGGCCATGGCCAAACCAAACCAAACCAAACCAAAGCAAACCAAAGCAAACCAAAGCAAACCAAACCAAACCCACTTCCATACACAAGGGCACAGCCCACAGCTGCACCGTGGCCAGCACGGCCCAGCACCTCCACAAGTGCTCACAGACACTCCTGGTGTCTGGGCCAGCCCCCTCCCGCCACACTCCCACCACAACTTGTCCCCATAGGCCACAAATGGTGCCTCAGTACCCCGGTGGCTTCTCCTTCCCCCGAGCCAAGCGGAGGAAGCCCAGCATCCCCCAGCCCCGGCACACATCCACCACACTCCCCACAGGATCCAGGGGACCGTGGGTGGCCCCACGCTGACCCAGTGACCCCAGGGGACACCCCATGGCAAGTACCCACGGCAGGCGCCCCAGCAGCAGGGACAGCCCTGGCACTGCTGCACACGTGTGGCAGCGCCGGCAGGGAATGTGTGGGGTCACACAGAGGGGGGCAGTGGGGTCAGTGCAGGGGGCAGTGGGGTCAGTGCAGGGGGCAGTGGGGGCAGTGTAGGGGGCAGTGCAGGGGGCAGTGGGGTCGTTGCAGGGGGCAGTGGGGGCAGTGAGGGGGCAGTGGGGTTGGTGGGGTGGAGCAGTGCTGGAGGCGTCACTGGGGTCAGTGCAGGGGGCAGTGGGGTCAGTGCAGGGGTCAGTGCAGGGGGGGGTCAGTGCAGGGAGGGGACAGGGGGTCGGTGGGTCAGTGCAGGGAGGGGACAGGGGGTCAGTGCAGGGGGTCAGTGGGTCAGTACGGGGACCGGGGGTCCCGCGGGCCGTGCAGCACCCCTCGGTGTCAGCGCAGCCCCCGCAGCGCGGGGCCGGGAGCGGGCAGGGGTGCGGCTGCAGATTCGGGGGTCCCGCCGAGGGGGTCGGGCCGGGCCAGTTTCTGTCCCCGCTCTGTCCCGGCTGCTGCCGGGGCCGCTCCCACCCAAAACTCCGCTCCTCCGGCACCCCGGTCCCCCGTTATTACCGCCGGCTGTCCCGTTATCCCTGCCGGCTCCCTTATCCCCGGCGCTCCCCTTATCCCCGGAACTCCGCGATCCCAGCCCCGTTCTCCGCGGCGGCTCCGTTATCCCGGCGGTCGGTCCCGTTATCCCGGCGGTCGGTCCCGTTATCCCGGCGGTCCCGTTATCCCCGTGGTCCCGTTATCCCCGCGGTCCCGCTCCGGGCGGGTCCCGCCGCCGCCGCCCCCGCCCTGGCCCCGACCCGCGGCTCCTCCCGGCCCCGCTCGGAGCCCGGCGCGGCGGGACCCGCCCGCGGGACCCCCGGCCCTTCCCGGTGCCCGGTGCCCCGGCCCCGCACTCACCCCGGGGCATGGCGCGGCGGCGGGCGCGGGGCCGGGGCGGCAGCGGCAGCAGCACGGAGAGCCGGACGAAGAGGAGGAGGAGGAAGAGGAGGAAGTCTGCGGCCGCCTCCTCCGCCGCCCCGGGCGGTCCCGCGGAGAAACTTCCCCCGCCGCGCCCGGCCCCCCGCGCCCGCCGCTTCCTTCCTCGGTCCGGGCCGGCAGCGCAGCCCTGCGCCCTCCGCCACCGCCCCGGGCTGGGGCACCGGCACCGGCACCGGGCACCGGCACCGGGCTGCGGGCACTGCCCCGGGCTGCGGCACCGGCACCGGGCTGGGGCACCGGCACCGGGCTGCGGCACCGGCACCGGGCTGGGGCACCGGCACCGGGCTGGGGCACGGCCCCGGGCTGCGGGCACCGGCACCGGCACCGGGCTGCGGGCACTGCCCCGGGCTGCGGCACCGGCACCGGGCTGGGGCACCGCCCCGGGCTGCAGGCACCGCACCGGGCTGCGGGCTGAGCCGGCGGCGGCTTGGGGCACCGCCCCGGGGCACGACCCCCGAGACCGCCCCGAGCAGGGACCCGCAGCCCCGGGGCCGCGTGGGGAGCGGGGACCCTCCTCCCTCACCAGCTGCCTGCGCCCCCCGAGCCCCCCATCCTTGAGCCCCCAGCACTGAGCCCCCCACCCTTGGCACCACCTCTGACCCCCAACCCCACTCCTGTCCTCCGCACCCCTGGCACTCATCCCTGACCCCACCGCTGGGGACAGGGCTGGGGACAGGGACACCCCGGGGTGACAGGGACACCCCGGGGCAGCCACGGCCAGCCCAGGGGGACCAGAGTTCTGGGGGTGCAGGGGGTGAGAAGGGAGCGGAGCCCACCCCACCCGGGGACTCGGGGGCTGATGGCGAGGGGAGGTGACACCCCTGCCCTCGGGCTGCCCCGGGGTGTGGGTGGGGAGGGGGTGACAGCACCGGGGGTGACAGCACAGGGGGTGACAGCACCGGGGGTGACAGCACCGGGGTGACAGCACCGGGGTGACAGCACAGCGGGGACCAGCTGCCCCTGGGGGAACAGGCGGTCCCGGGGCTGCTGCGGGAGCGCCCCCAGCCCCGAGCTGTGCCGGAGGAGCCCGGCTGCTGTGAGGGTCCCCCCAGGGCCGGCTCCCCCAAGCTGCGAGCCCCCAAAGAGGCCAGGGTCCCCCAGCGGTGCCCACGGCCCATGAGGGACAGCCGGGGATGGAGGGAGGCAGTTCCCGGGAGCGAGTGGCATGTCCCCGTCCCCATCCCGGGGTCTGCAGCTGTGGGACCCCCGCCCACAGCCGGCATCTGCCCAGTGCCAGCACGGGGACCAGAAGTGGCGTCCTGCAGTGGCCGGACATCAGCCCGGACAGAGCCCGGACATCAGCCCGGACAGAGGCCGGACAGAGCCCGGACCTGGGCCGGACATCAGCCCGGACATCAGCCCGGACCGAGCCCGGACAGAGGCCGGACATCAGCCCGGACAGAGCCCGGACATCAGCCCGGACCTGGGCCGGACATCAGCCCGGACAGAGCCCGGACATCAGCCCGGACATCAGCCTGGACAGAGCCCGGACATCAGCCCGGAGCGAGGCCGGACATCAGCCCGGACAGAGGCCGGACATCAGCCCGGACCTGGGCCGGCCCCGTGCTCAGCCGGACACTCGCCGTGGCCGGGGAACCCCACGAGGGGCCAGCCTGGGACCCCCAGCCCAGAGCGGGAACGTGGGAGGAGCCTGCGCCAGGGACAGGGGTGTCACTTGTCGGAGCACCCGGCCAGAGTGGGACAGATGTGAGGGGTGGGACAGATGTGAGGGGTGGGACAGGACGTGTTCCCTGTCTGTGTCCCCTCCCTGTCCCCGTCTCCCCGCAGCTGGTGGCCTCAGGACACACTGGTGGCCCTGGGGTGTCACAGCTCCAGGAGGTGCCGAAATTTCCTCAACCCCCCCCGGGAAGCGGGAGCCACGGGCTGGGACCCCAGCGAGCGGCGTGCTGTGACATGTCAGCGGGGGTGACATGGCAGGCTGTGTCACATGTTGGGTGTGTCCCCTGTCCCGGTGTGTCCCATGTCGGTATGTCACATGGTGTGTGTCCTCTGTCGCGGTGTGTCCCATGTCGCATGGTGTCCCCCTATCGCGGTGTGTCCCTATCGCGATGTGTCCCTTCTCTGTGTCCTCTATCACAGTGTGTCCCCTGTCCCGGTGTGTGTCCCTGTCCCGGTGTGTGTCTCTGTCGCGCTGTGTCCCTATCGCGATGTGTCCCCTGTCCCGGTGTGTGTCCCTTGTCAGTGTGTCCCTGTCCCGGTGTGTGTCCCTTGTCAGTGTGTCCCTGTCGCGATGTGTCCCCTGTCCCGCTGTGTCCCATGTCAGTGTGTCCCTATCGCGATATGTCCCTGTCCCGCTGTGTCCCTGTCGCGGTGTCCCGGCCCCGCCATTCCCCGCTCTGTCCGCCAGGGGTCGCTGCGGGCCAGCGCCGTGCGCGCGCGGGAGGCAGCAGGGGCGTGGCCCCGCTCCCGCCCCGTTGGCCCCGCCCCAGTGGGTGTGGCCCGGCGGCTCTTGGCCCCGCCCCCTGTCAGCGCGCGCGGCGGCGCCAGGGCCCGGTGCGTAGCGCGGCGCGCGGGGGGGGGCGGACGAGACCACCGCGGCGGCGCGGGGGGGTGCGGGGCTGTCCCGGCACGGACAGAGCGGGGTTTTCCGGGAGGCACCGCTGCGAGGAGGCGGCGGAGGGACGGAGCGGGCCGCAGGGACAACAGCGGAGGTAGCGGGAAGGAGCGTTATCCCGGCAGAGCCGCGGGGCGCCGGCGGGGTTATCCCGGGAAGAGACCACTGAGGGCGGGGGGACTGGGGCTGTCCCGGGAGAGACCACTGCGGCGGGGGGGAGGCTGTCCTGGGAGACACCACTGCGGGCGGGGGGGGAGGGTTCCGGTAGCCGGTGCGCGGCCGCAGCTGACGGCGGTGCCGGGACAGCCGGGAGAACCGGGACAGCCGCGATAACCGGGATAACCGGGATAACCGGGACACCCGCGGCCCCCCAGCCGGTGCCCATGCCGAGGAGCAGCTGACGGCGGCGGGGACGCGGAAATGGAGCCGCGGCCGGGCCGGGCCGTGCGGGCGCTGTGCGGCCTCTTCCTCCTCCTCCTGCTCCTGCTGCTGCAGCATCCCGGCCGCGCCGAGCGGGCCCCCGGCTCCCACCTGGACGACTCGGCCATCGCAGGTGAGCCCCGCCGTGCCCTGCCCTGCCCTGCCCTGCCCGCCGGGCTCGGGCGCTGCCCGGGGAAGGCCGTGCCACCCCCCCGCGCTCCGTTTTGGGGCCATTCCTCCGCCTTTCGGACAAGAGCTGCGCTGCTCCCCGCTTCGGGACCCCGCAAGGACCGAAATTACCCCGCAATAACCCCTGTGTGTTCCTACTGCGGGCTCCGGCTGTTTGGGTTAAAAGTTTTACATTCCACCTCGTTTAGAATATTGCGCTCCGCTTCGTTCAGGCGCATCGGCGGCGAGCGGCATTTCACACGATTCGCGTTGTTTTACTCGCCCTGTGCTGGTGAGAGGCTGGCCGGGAGCTGGGGACGGTGTGGGAATTCCGTGCGGAGCCGTTCCCGGCTGGGGACCCCCGGGCTGTGCCCTGCTCCGCCGGGACTGGCGGGTCCCACCGGAGGAACGCGGGCAGCGCGGCCGAGCCGCTGTGTTCTCTCCTTCCCATCCCTGTGCCCCGAGAGCCCCGTGGGTTTGTCCCCGCTGTGGCCGCGCTGGTGGCGCCTCCGTGGGCTCTGTGTCCTTGTGGCGGTGCCCGAGGTCAGCCGGAGCTGCCCGTAACCCCGCTGTGAGCCCGGGCCGGACCGCGGGAGCCCCGAGCCGCCCGGTGCCGGTACCGGTACCGCCGGCAGCTCTCCCCGGGGCCGGGCTGCAGCCGGGGGGATCCGGGCGCAGGAAGGGCTCGGGCTGGGGTGTGGGTGCTGGTGTTGGGTGGGCTCGGCTCTCAGCGCGGGGCTGCTCGGTGGGAGCGGGGCACGGAGCGGGGCACGTAGCCGGCCCTGGAGCGGCGGAGCGGCGGAGCCCCGGGCAGCTCGGCGGCAGACCGGGGATGGGCTCCGTGCCTCGCTGTGGGTGCCTCCGGGCCGAGGGCTCCGCGTCCCCTGCCGCCGTGCCCCGGGACCCTCGGGCCCGCTCGCATCCAGTCTGCTCCGCTACGGAAACTGGATCTCCGCAGTCCTCGTGAAGCAAGGTTGGTGCCTCCAAGGAATTTGCAGCGCAGTTATTTTTGGAGGCCCTGCAGAAGTGTGGCAGCCCGGCTGATTCAGCTGCTGGCTCTGCTCTTGGCGAGCCCCGGCAGTGCCCCGGCAGAGCCCCGGCAGTGCCCCGGCAGTGCCCCGGCTGTGCCCCGGCAGTGCCCCGGGGCGCTCGGGGCCGTGCTGGGCTCCCCGGCCTGCCTGGCATTGCAGGCTGGCTGCGGCTGCAGCCCCACACCTGCAGGAACGTGGTCGGGGGGATTGGTGTGCCCTGCTCCGTGTCCGTCCGGCTGGGAGGGCTCCCTGCCCTCTCCTGCTCCCGCACGGTGTGTCCCCTGAGCTCCCTGAGCTCTTGCTCCCAGCTCCCAGCAGGGAATGAATGTCCTCAGCCGGCACAGCAGAGCTTTTCCGGGTGTTTTCCCTGGAAGCAGAAGGTGTTGGCTGCTTGGTGTGAGGCAGAGGTGAGTGTTGGACGTTTTTTGAAAGTGAAAGTGCTCGGTACTGACACGTTTTCTAACGTGCAAAGGTGCTTTTATTTTTTTTAATTAATTAATTAGGATGGCAGGGTTTTAATGATAAACCGTCAGCAGCGGGGAAGTTTTTCAGACTGTGCAGGGGAGCGCTTGCAGAGAGCAGGAGCCTGGGCTTGCAGCACTTGGGCTGCTGAGGTTCCTCTGCACACTCAAGGGATGCATCAGCAGGTTTCTCGAGGATTAGGGAATGATCCCTATTCCTGGGTGATATTTTTAAACAAGAGTTTGAAACGGGTGGGTTTATCCATGCCGGAAAATCAGAGTGGGTGACTGAACCCCGGGGGAAAACCAGATTTTCTCCTGGCTTTGACTCGCTCAGAGGCCAACTGAGGCCTTAATCTTTGATCTCTAATCCCTTTCTGCCGGGATCCCACTGAAGTTTGGTTCCACCCGCAGCTCAGTAGGCATTTCACCAGGTGTGGGGGTTTGGAGGCCCGGCCAGGCAGAGGGAGCCCCTGGCAGCCCCTGGCCTTGCCCGGGCCCAGGTTTGGGATCCTGCCGCTGTCACAGGATGTGTGACGGGCCCACGGCATTGTTTGCACCCGCCCTGGTTATTTTTAGCCCGAATTTGTCAGGCTGCAGCCCGGCCTGAGACCTTTTCACACCCCCTAAAAGGGGGCAAACGAGGCTCCTCAGGGACAAACTGGACTTCCAGGAATTTTTTCCCCATCTCTCTGTGCTCATTTGTGTAATCTGGCTGTTGCCCTCATCAGCCAGGTTTTGGTCCTTTTTCTGGTCCTTATCAGAACATCCTTGGGGCTGTGGACAGTGTTTTACACGAGTTTTATGTGGGCTATCAAAAATGTGACCCGCTGTTTGGGTCAAGTGTCTTAAATTTCATCTCATTTAAATTACTAATCTTGCTCAGCTGGCTCTTCCTCCTTAAATCACATCACCTGCAACCAGTGTGTGGGATTTAGGGCTGTTTTTATTTCAGTTGCTTGCCCTCTGTGCAGCCCAGCACAGGTGGGCACTTCCAGGTGTGGCTGCAGGAGATCCGAGGAAAGCTGGCTGTGGAGAGGTGGGGTTTGGGTGGCTGGGGTTGATCCCTGGTTCCCTCAGTGGTGACAGCTTCTCCCCGCAGTAATGTGGGAGTGCAAGTGTGCAGTGCCCTGAGCCTTGTTTCACTGTGCACAGCATTCTTTCCTGAGCTCCCCCAGGGATCTGGGGGTCCCCGTTCTGCTGTCTTTGAGGCAGATCAGGGGTGCTGGTGTGGATTTTCCCTCGTTCCTGCAGCAGCACAGAGCTGGGCTCTGAGCTGTGTGTTGGGTGGAGGCATTTTTGGGGATGTGGAGCTCGTTGGCACAGGTTTGGTAGCTTTTCCTCTTTCACAGCAGCTCCTCTTCCTTTCTCCTGCCGTGTCTCCTGCTTCCCTGTCTTGTTTCCTTCATCACAACCTTTCTTGAGTCATCTTTGCTGTTATCTCAGTGGTTTAAAGAACAAGTTAAAACCACATCCTGACAGTGTCGTGTCCAAAGCTGGGGGCTGTGCCCAGGGCTGTTCCTGTGTGCCTGGAGCACCTGGAGCTGCCCTTAAACCCCCGGGAGCATCCTGTGGGACAAAGTCAGGCTGAGGAAGGGGGCTGCAGCCACAGGCTGGTCACTGTCATTGATTCCAGAGGGGGAGAATGGGAATTTCTGTGCCCAAGCCCTGTCTGTCCTTGCCATCCCGGGGCCCAGGGGTTCATTAGAAGTGAATCCTTTGCTGCAAAACCTCTGCCTTGGGAAGGGGTGGGTTTGGGCTTGAAACCAGCAGTGAGGGCTTTTGTCCTGTGAGCAGGACCTGGCCTCAGTGGAGCTGTGGGGGCTCAGTGATGGCTCGTCCTGCAGGGTGGAACAGGCTGGATCTCTGTCCTTGCACAGTCTGGGGGAGTTCAAGGGGCACAGTGACCCGCTGTGCCCTCCTTGCTTTGATAAAATGCCTTGTAAAGGAGACTCTGCTCTCAATTCCTTTGAGGGCTGCATGCTCACTGAGAACTTGCACCTATGAGCAGCAGCTTTGGGCTGGGTGAGGGACTCGAAGCGGTTGTGAGAATACCTGGAGAGCTCTGCCAGGGAGAAATCCGTGTTCTTCCCCAGCTCAGCTGGTGGATTGCACAGCCTCAGCTTCCTTCAGGAATGAAACTCATCTCGAGGAATTGCCATTCTGAGAGCTGGAAAAATTGTGTTTTGGCAGCAAAGTGGCCTCATGTGGAGGAGGAGGAGGAGCGGGGCCGACTGGGCAGCGCTGGGGCTGCTGGGGAGCTCCTGGCTCCTTCCAGCTCATTCCCTTCCCTGCTTGGCCCAGAAACTTGGAGTAATGCTCAGCTGGATCAGAGAGAGGATCTTAATGTAATTTCTTGTTAGATTTATTTATTTGCTCCCTTGGAAAGCATCTGTCTCCATGTTTGCTGTGCCCTGGGGTGGTCCCTTCCCTCAGGAGGCTGCAGGGAGCTGCAGCTCCTGCTCCAAACCAGGCTCTGGGTTGGCCTTTCCTGCCGTGGGGCAGGGATACACACATCCATGTGGAAGTCCAAGGCATCAATCCCTCTGTCCTTTCCATCCTTTGCTCTCAGGAGGGCATGGAGCAGAAAATGTGTGGGGAAGGAGCCTCCTGACATCCCTCGTGGTGCAGCTGCAGGGTCTGGGATGCTCTGCTGGTCCTGGAGCAGAGCCTTATCCCAGGAGGAGTGAGAAGGAAAAGTGCTTTGTGTTTCTCTGGCCTGCTCAGTTGGTGTTTGGCTCGTGGGCTGCCTGGACATGTTGGTACATCACAATTCCCTGTGGGAGCTCTCTCCTCCCCTGGGCAGGGGCTGGAGGGATGGGTGAGTGTCCAGGGACAGCCCTGGGGAGCTGAGCTACCCTCCAGTGAGGTGTGGTTCATGATCTGCCTGGCATCTGGGGAGGGAAGGGAGCTAAAGGGCCATCCTGGTGTTCACTGGCTGCCCAGGGAGCTTTGGAGTGCCCATCCCTGCAGGTGTCCCCTGGAGGTGGCACTGAGTGCTCTGGGCTGGGGACAAGGTGGGCATGGGGCCCAGCTGGGACTCCCTGGGCTGGGAGGGCTTTGCCAGCCCCAGGATTTGGGCATTTGTTAGTGAAAAATCCCTTTCTGCAAGCTGGTGGCTGATCAGCAGCACTTTTCCCTGGGCTTGTCCCTGTCCTGCTGCTTGTCCCACTTGGAGGCTGTGCTGGTGGAAGAGGCCCTGGCAGTGGTTTGTGTTCCTGGTGCTTCCAAGCCCAGGGTCAGTGCCAGGCCTGGACACCCTTCGGTGCTGGACTGTGCCCAGCCTGGCACTCTGCTGCCCAGAGCCCTGATTGCACAAACTTGCAGTGTTAAGAAAGCTGTTTTCTCCGTTAATTAGCTTTGCTTTAAATCCAGAGAGGGAGAAACAAACTCCTGGCAGGCGCAGAGCTGTGGCTGTCCCTGGGCAGCCCTGGGGGTGCCACTGGGACCAGGGTGTTCCTGTTCTGGCTGGC